AGCAGTGATGATCCGCAAAGCGCTTCCAACTCGGCCTCGGGCCTGGTCACGACCTTGGTCCCCTCTTTGATCTCTGCCGCGGCCATGGTAATCATCTTCATTATTTTGCGACGCAGTGAAACTCGCATGTACATGCCCCGAACCTACCTGGGTGTTCTGCGCCCCTCGGAGCGTACTCCCGCTTCTCCTACTGGCCTCTGGAATTGGATTTTGCAAATGTACCGGCTGCCCGATGAATATGTCTTGCAGCATCACTCCATGGATGCCTATCTCCTCCTGCGCTTCCTGAAGGTTGTGTCGATGATTTGCTTCGTGGGAGCTTGCATGACCTGGCCTATCCTGTTCCCCGTCAATGCAACGGGCGGCGGCGGCGGCCAGCAATTAGATATGCTGAGCATGTCGAACGTCAGCGCCGATAAGTATGCTCGCTACTTCGCTCACGCATTCATTGCATGGCTCTTTGTTGGTGTGTACTTCCCGTAAAGTATGGCTTGGGGGTGCCCGTCACTAATGATATTGCTAGGCTTCGTCTTCTACACGATCACTCGCGAATGCCTGTTCTACATCAATCTGCGCCACGCTTACGCCCTCGCTCCGGCATATGCCAGCCGTCTCTCGTCTCGCACCGTGCTCTTTACTGCGGTCACCGAAGATTACTTGAGCCGCGAAAAGATTCGACAGATGTTTGGTCCCGAGAAGGTGAAGAATGTCTGGCTTACGACCAACACCAGCGAATTGGACGATAAGGTTGCTGAGCGCGAGGACGCTGCGATGAAGCTCGAGGCGGCGGAGACGAAGCTTATCAAACTGGCCAACGCTGCCCGCCTGAAGGCCCTCAAGAAGCAAGGGTCCGTGGAGGAAGGTCAGAACGCAGGCGATAGCCTTTGCGACGATGACGATGAGTCCGGCTCGGTTGCAGCTCGCTGGGTTCGACCCCAAGACCGCCCTACCCATCGGCTCACATTCCTGGTTGGTAAGAAGGTTGATACCATCAACTGGGCGAGATCTGAGATCGAGCGTCTTCAACCCGAGATCGAGGAACTTCAGGCCAAACACAGGGAAGGTAATGCGGACCTGGTGTCGTCTGTCTTCGTTGAATTCCACGCCCAGGCCGATGCTCAGCAGGCTTTCCAGTCTGGTTAGTGTACCATGTCGTCCGTCTTTTGTGTCCAGCTATGCTAACTCGCGCAACAGTGGCCCACAACTACCCCCTGCACATGGCGCCTCGTTACATCGGCCTGGAGCCCACCCAGGTCATCTGGTCCAACTTGCGCATCAAGTGGTGGGAGCGACTCGTTCGTTACTCTGTGACCATCGCATTTGTTGTCGCTTTGATTGTCTTCTGGGCCATTCCCACTGCCGTGGTTGGCTGCATCTCGAACATCAACTTCCTGACTCAGAAGGTTCCTTTCCTTCGCTTTATCAATGACGTTCCAAGCTGGATTCTGGGGGTTATCACGTCTCTTCTGCCTACGGTCTTGATGTCCGTACTCATGGCCTTGCTGCCAATTATCCTCCGATGTAAGTTGCAACCCTAGGCCTCCATGTATGTGAAGTCTGAGCGCATTCTCATCTGTCGATAGTGATGGCCAAACTCGGTGGCGCTCCCAGCTTGGCTGCCGTGGAGTTGACTACACAAAACTTCTATTTCGCATTCGAAGTCATCCAGGTTTTCTTGGTTGTTACTATATCATCTTCCGCCTCCAGTGTCGTATCCGATATCATCAACAAGCCCACTTCCGCTGCGTCTCTGTTGGCCGAAAAGATTCCCACCGCTTCGAACTTTTATATCTCTTACATCATCCTGCAAGGGTTGTCTTTCAGTGCCGGTGCTCTGCTGCAGATCAGTGGACTGATCCTCGGCAAGGTCCTGGGTCGGCTCCTGGACAACACCCCGCGAAAGATGTACAGCCGTTGGTCCAACCTTGCTGGTCTGGGCTGGGGAACTGTGTATCCTATTTTCACCCTCCTCGCTGTGATCGGTAAGTAACTGTTTATTGAGGATGTTGGAAACCGCCAGCTGACAATACATACAGCTATCGTCTACTCGTGTATTGCACCCCTCGTGCTCGGGTTCGCCACCATCGGTCTTTACCTCTTCTACTTCGCCTACCGCTACAACATGCTGTATGTGTCGAACGCCAACATTGACACCCAGGGTAAGGCCTACGTCCAGGGTCTGAAGCACCTGACTGTGGGCTGCTACCTCCTGATGGTCTGTCTGATTGGTCTTTTCGCCATCGCTACCGCTGCCGACAGCATTGCCACTGGACCCCTGGTCCTCATGATCATTCTGCTGATCTTCTGTGTTCTGTACCACGTGGCCCTCAACAATGCCCTGGAGCCACTGATCCACTACCTGCCCAAGAACCTCGAATCGGAGGAAGAAGCCCTGCTGTCTCGCGAGCAGACCAAGGTGAGCCAGTCCGGCGAGGCGTCGGATGACGCCGCCGCCGGCGGCTCCAAGGCACGCGACAGCGGCGTGGCCAACATCGACTCCGCCGAACGGGGTCTGACCTCCGACGAGCCCCAGGCTAAGCCCAACTTCCTGCTCCGGTACCTTCGTCCCGACAGGTACGACAGCTATGCGCACATGCGCCGCCTGGTTCCTAGCGGACAGGAGATCACCAAGTATGACCCCGAGGTGGAGCGGGACGCCTACTTCAACCCGTCCATCAAGGCACAGGCTCCTCTGCTCTGGATTCCTCGCGATGAGCTCGGTGTCAGTCGCCAGGAGGTCAAGCACACCTCCCGGGTCATCAAGATCACCGACGAGGATGCCTGGCTGGACGAGAAGAACCATATCTGCTGGGACTTGGACAAGGGTGTTCCTCCGATCTTCAAGGAGAAGGTTTACTACTAGATACCCAGACGCAAGGAAAAGAGAAAAGAAAAATGATGTGTATGGATAATCTACTGACTGTTGGATGATAATGGTGATGGTGATGGTGATGGGAGAATAGTTTACAGAGAACCTTGATACCCACGGATTTGGAGGCCATAAAATGTATATGGCTGGCTTTTCGAAGATAAAGATAATACGGATGTTCATGTTCTATTTCTAATTATACTAACTAATCATGGAAGTTTTAAGTGTTGAGAAGAAGAAGAAATGGCCGTGATGTTTACATACATATATACGAGGTTACTATAAATATCACATAATGACTGGTTGTGCATTAAAATCTCCCTAATATTACCTCAACTACCAACCTACAATTAACTATCACCATTATAATAACTGATAAAATTACTCCCCCTCACCAGGATGAACCCTCTCCCACCCCCTCCTCACCCCATCCCTCCTCTTCATCCGCTCAAACCACAGCCTCAACCAAGGAAGCAACCTCAGATTAAACTCATATTGACTCGCCGCCGCGACATACGGGAAATGCACTAGATCAGCCACCGTACTGTTGTCATATCACAATCAGCCATCACCCTATACCTTCCTCTCCACACAAAGAAAAAGGAAAGAAGGGATAAGAGAAAATACCATTTCTCCCCAGCCAACCACCCACTTCCCTCACCCCACCTCTGCCGATTCAAAGCCAGCTCCAGAAGGCGATATAGATCGATTAATCTTTGCCTGAAGGGGCGATCCATCAATGTATGCGCTGTTATAATAATAGGTGTGGTGTGTTTATTCGATCTAGTCTCGGTTGTCACTGGGGGTTGTTGTTGTTGTTGTTGTTGATGCTCAGGTTCAGGGTCGGTGCTTCCCATCCAGAATTCTAGCTTCGAGCAATGCTCTTCCACTGCTGCTTGTTCGAGAGTATCTGGTGGGTATGTGATGTGGTGATTGTCCTTGTCGTAGTTGCTTAGGAGGTAGGTGGTTATGGAGGAGAGGGTTTGTAGGGGAGGGTCGTGGTTGGGGCGGTTGGTGTCTGTTAGGGTTGTTGTTGGTGGTGTTGGTGTTGGGGATGAGGACGAGAATGGGGAGTCATGGTGGGTGTGGCTGTCGGGGAGGAGGTGGAGGGTATAAGGGAGACTGAGTTCTTCGAGGATGATGGCGATGGCGGTGCCGGTGATGGAGGCTTTGGGCGTGGTGAGGGTGATGGTGCTGGTGCTGGGTTCTTCGAGGGAGACGTTCATTGTGCACTAGTTGTTTTGCTGTAGGTAGTAGGCTGTGAAGTGTGAGAGTGGGGAAGGGAGAGGAAAGCTCCAGGGAAGGAATAAGTTGGATAGTAGTATAGATGCATTGCAGATGGAGATGTAATTATGATACTAATCTGGGGGAGGGGGGATTGTGCTTGACGTCACGGAGATACTATAGAAAGGGAAAAGTTCAGGAACTGGTTTGGGATTACAGGAACTGGTTAATTTTAGAAGTCGGTGATACAGAGTTACATTATGTCACTATGCCTGTGATGCGTGTCTGGATGTATTTTCAATTCCAGTGTTTGTTTTAAGTTCCCTGCATCCATCTCAATGTAGTATCTTCAGACTGCGAACTATTGGATGGGATTAAATGACTGCAAAGCCGAGGTGTCACACCCAAAAGAGTAGAAAGTAATTAAAATGGGCGGGTCTGGCCACCGCGAGCTTATGGCCCGCCCCACCAATCACAAACGATGGCCGGGCCTGGCTCGGTCGTCGTGCAGGTCGGCACTCTCCCTCTCGGCATTTGATTGGCTGGGATCAACAGTTTCGGCCGGCGGAGAACGCGGCGTCATCAAGCCGTTACGTTTGCCGTTTTGGCCGAAAAGGGTCTGTCTGTCTAGTTTGCAATTCTGCAAGATTGCACACCCACAATCACCATCGCCCCCCTGTGAATAATTTCTGAGCAAACATACATCTCTGATCAACATCTCTGGTCCTTCCAGATGAACCATGGTTTGACTGTCCGATCCGCCACCATCGCCGTGCCTGTGTGACTTGTGTGACTTGTATCCCCCCGGAGGGGTTGCGCTATAAGTATCCGATTGTACTCCCCCACATCGGCCAGGGGAATGAAGCAGGATTCGGCAGCAGTGGCAGACTCCCAACCCCACGCGATCATGATGCAGCCCACCCCTGTTCCTCGTGATATCCTCATCGTCGGCGCCGGCATCGCGGGTCTGGCCAGCGCCATCTCTCTCGCCAAGGAACTGGCTTCCTCCATCCCCGACCTCAAAATCTCCGTCTTCGAAGGCGCACCAGGACTATCTGCTTCAGGGGGCGCTATCAGCCTGACCCCAACGGCGCAGAACTATCTCGACAAGCTGGGCGTCTTGTCCGAACTCAATCGCATGGGCAGTGAAGCCGGCATCGAAGTCGATCTCATTGAACTCTTCTCCCTCCGCTCAGGTCGTAGACTGGGGCCTCTCAAATTCACCGACGAGAATGGCTTCGGTTACGGTGGCTATAAGGGCCGTCGAGTCATGCGAAATGCCCTCTCGCGCGCCATGTTATCCGTCATCCAAAATCACCTTCCTTCGGTTTCCGTCTACTTCAACAAGAAAGTGGTAGGCGGCACCACAACCGACTCCTCCGTCACCTTATCTTTCGAAGATGGCTCCTTCGCTACCGGAGATCTTGTTCTGGGCTGCGACGGCGTCCACTCTATCACGCGCACTCGCATTGTCGATCCCGGCAACCGCTCCGAATACACCGGCATCTCCTTCATCCAGAGCGTCTCTGACGCCCACGATCTCCCCGTCCCCATGCATTTCAACCAGACCGCCATCCACCTCACCCGTCACAGTTCCCTTCTTACCAGCTACTGCGATCCTGATCGCCAGAAGATCTTCTCCGCCGCCATCCTCCGCGTGAACGAACACCTCATTGAGCGCTACCAAGCTACTTCGAAAAGCGATTGTCCCGAACAAGCCAGCATGAAGATGTCCATTCGCTATCTGGTGCGCACACAGTTCGCCAAATCCGCCCTTCCTAGCATCCGCGCACTCCTCGACCACACTGAAGATTGGGCTTTGTACCCGGTATATCAAGTCCGGCAACGAGGGAAATGGCACAAGGGACGGATTCTTCTCCTTGGGGATGCTGCGCATGCGGTAAGCCATCACCTAACCTCCATACTTCATCTTTTGAAGCACGTAATTGACCATCGAATATAGATGCCTCCCCGCGACGAATCCGCCGCATACTCCATCGAAGACGCCCTCATCTTCACACAAATCTTCTCCCGCAACCTGCACGCACCTCTCTCCACGACCTTCCAAGAATACGAGTCCCTGCGCCGCGAGCTCGTCAACAAAGTTTTTGACGCCTCCCGCCGTCTCTGGCAAAGTGATCTCGACAAGGGATTGTTCCCGGGCCACGTTCGCGAACTCATGTCACCAGTGCACATGTCGCCGGGAGACAACCTCCCGGCGCCAACGACAACGATAGCATCAGCAAGGCCGGGCATTCCAGCGGCCACGCATCAGAGTTTCTCGGATCTGTCGGTGTACTCGTTGACCCGGGAGTTCCAAGGGGAGATTGAATCTTAGTTGATTTGAGCTATGGATAGATACGAGGATGGCATATAGAGGTGTTTACAAGGTCCTTACTTCGGGTTTATTTTCTCGTGCGGGTACGTAATGTTTATTTCTTCACACGGATGGATCATAGAAAGGAATGGGATCTGGAATGGGACAGGACAGGACAGGACATATGGCTAGAAACGAGCGTTACGACCACACTACAAGCAATGATAATACTTTTCTTTTCAATGAACCACACCCTTCTTCATCCCTTAGTGGCTTCTATATCACCCACGTAGTTCATATCAATTAGCCCTTTCTCGACTAGAAATTAGTGAGAAGGGGTTGATTTGTACCGTTACGCCAAAAGACCCAAGTATCTGTCTCCGGGCCCCATTTCATATGGGGCATTGCCTCTGGACTTCTGAAAATTGGTGTCCCAATCTCATCGGCCGGTGGGGTGCGCAGGGAGATCTTGGGGACCGTGCTGCCGAACCCGGCGAGGTGGATGTCGGTGAAGCGGTTTCTTTGCTATCATTTTTATTTCAAATGTTGGTGTTGGATTGGTGGTGGTTTACAAGGATGATGTTGCTTGGTTCGATGTCTAGATTTATCATGTTTGACCATTGTAGTATGCAACACATGCCACTATCAACCAACCCATCTCTATGCAACAGCTGAGCTTAGCTGTGTAAATGAAGTAGATTCATTGGAGGATTGAATGTAGATCTAGAAGGATGGAAGTGATCCACCGTGGCGTCACCGCCCGGACGTGCCTGGTTTTCTGCCGTCCATTTTTTCCGTTTTATCAAAAGATCCCCGAAATCCGTTGCTTCTCCGTTCACCTCCTCCCTCTCATCCTCCCATTCTCCCTCCCTTTTCTCTTATTTATTTTCCCATCTTCATTGGTTTAATAGATATTTCTTTGTTTTTAATTGTTTCCCTGTTACCTTTTTACTCTTCCTAAGCTCCTCATCATGCTGGGCGCTTTCCGCCGTTCCGCCGGCGCCGTCCATGCGCTGCGAGCTTCACGATCTCTGCTGGCCAGATCGATTCCTCAGCAACCCCAGTGGCTCTCTGCTTCAGCGCCTGCGGTCTCATACGGTGCTCGCGCCCTCTACCACCCGTCCCCGGCTTTCCTTGATGCCAGAGCGGCAGCTCAGGCGCAACTAAATGTCGCCGCCGACATCGAGCCCCGGCTACCCAGTACCGATTTCCACAGCCTGGCACAAGACGGCCTGGTCAACGACAGACTGATCCGAACCGTGACAAATTCCATGAAGATTCAAACCATGACTGATGTCCAAGCCAAGACGATCCGTGAAACACTGAGCGGCGATGATGTGTGAGTAGTTCCTCGTCTCTGCCTCCCTTCCTTCATCCTCTTGCATGGCGGCTGACCTTGATTTTTCTTCCCATACAGCTTGGCACAGGCAAAGACCGGAACCGGAAAGACCCTTGCGTTCTTGATCCCCGTCATCCAGCGCCTTCTCAATGATCCGTCGATCAAACGCTCGCGTCCCGGATACCGGGGGAGAAACCCACCCGACATTCGGGCGATTGTCATCTCCCCGACTCGTGAGTTGGCGGAACAGATTGCCAACGAGGCACAACGCTTGGTGTCTGGATTGGGTTTGGCCGTGCAGACGGCAGTTGGCGGCACTCAAAAGAGATTGCATTTAAACAAGATCCGGACCGAGGGCTGCAATATCTTGGTCGGAACTCCTGGTCGTCTGAAGGATCTTCTTTCCGATCCTTACAGCGGTGTCAAGGCGCCGCAGCTTCAAGCTCTCGTCTTCGACGAGGCTGACCGCTTGTTGGATGATGGCTTCTCGCAAGAGATCGGTGAGATTAAGGATCTCCTGCCAGCACCAGAGGAGGTCGACCGCCAGACCCTGATGTTCTCCGCCACCGTACCAGGTGAGGTTATGGACATGGTGCGTCAGACTATGAAGCCTGACTTCAAGTTCATCAAGACTGTTATGGAGGATGAGGTGCCCACCCACTTGCGGGTGCCCCAGAAGGTCGTCTACCTGGACGGATTTCAGAACGGCTTGCCTGCTATTCTGGAGCTGGCAAAGAAGGGTTACGCTGAAAACTCGCATTTCAAGGCCATTGTCTACCTCAACGCAACGACGATGGTCTCGCTGGCCAATGACGTTTTCCGGCGGCTTCAGAATGATCCTGAGGATCGTACCAAAGGACATGCTCTTGGCCGCCTCCCTATCTACCAAATCCATTCGCGGCTGACTCAGGCGCAAAGAACTCGTGTCACGAGTACTTTCCGCAGCGCGTTCCGCGGCATTCTCTTCTCCTCCGACGTGACAGCCCGTGGTTTGGATTTCCCCGACGTCACGCACGTCATCCAATACGGACTTCCCAACGAGCGTCAGACCTACATCCACCGCGTGGGGCGCACGGGCCGTGCGAACAAGGAAGGTGAGGGTTGGATCCTGCTGCATAAGAACGAGAAGCGTGCCTTCAAACAGATATTGGGCGACCTGCCTATCGAGGAGGATCAGACCTCGGTTCCCGTTGCGCATATCAACATGCGCGAAGAGATCGAGGATGATGGCTCAGAGACGAGCCGAACTCTACAACAATACAAGTTTGCCGCGCAGGAGGTTCCCATCGACGATCGAGTGGAGGCATGGAGGTCCCAAGCGGGTACCATCATAGGCAAACTCCAACCTCTGTCGGCGACCCTGCCTGCCATGCATGACCTGTGCACCTACGGATACTTGCTGCCCAAGCCTCCGCAGCTCCCTTTGAGGATCCAACAAGCTCTGGAGAGGGGCGACAAGCCCCCTCCGAGGTCCAAGCGTGGTGGACCCCGCGACTTCAGGTCCCGGGATTCCTACAGGCCCCGTTCCAGTGGTGGCTACAATGACCGCTATAATGACCGCTACCAACACTCTTCATCCCGCGAACCCCGCAACCCTTGGAACGAGAGAGGCTCCTCTCGCGGCCGTCGCGAGGGCCGTCGCGAGAATCGCTCCTACAACCGCTACTGATCCCGGTGCTTGAGTCCAGGATCATTAACGCTCTTCGATACCCTTCCTATGAAACGCAGCCCTGCTAAAATTGACCTTTGAAACCGGCTTGTTATAATAGTGCCGGATATCTATTCGGGGATAAGCTCTTCCTTTCTCCTTCTTCTTCTCATTGTGGTTGGACTGCGTGCAATATGTTTCTCTTTAAAAATGTGTTCGATATGTGATCGGCTTGTATACTACATAACAGATACCACGTGAATATGGCATAGTCTCTACTCTAGATATAAAATATACTTGTATAATATGATGGAAATTCCAACATACGACCCTATCATTATCAGTTCGTATGACGTAGGAAATAAATCAGAAGATGGCCTGCTTTCTAGTCCTCGTAAAGCGACCACTTCAATCATGCTACGAGACCGTAGGATCGACTTAACCCATTCTAGCACCATATATAAAGTTATACTACTTATACTAAAATCACTGTAAAGAGAATAAAATGCTTTTGATCTATCCATAACCCCAAGACAGTCAGTCCTAATATACATACATACATGCTGCCTTCTATATCCAATTAAATAAAACCATAACAATCGCTATCGAAAGCATCATTAAGCATCCTCCCCGTTCTTCATCTTCTCACTCTCCGCCTTCTTCGCCGCAAACCTCTCCCTAGCCAACTCAATCTTCGACTTCGGCTTCTGACCTCCCTCACCACCAACATCCAATCCCTTGGCCTTGGCCGCCCACTCACCCCTGCGACGCTTATACAAGTCCATAGACCAATTACGCCACACGGCACGACCGACAAACGAATCCCTCAGAGCCATTTCACTCCGCGCCAGTTCCTGCGCCATGCGCTCCTTGACGAAGAACACGTCCTTCGTAGCGTGCCAGAGGGCATCCACGACGCGGGATCCGCTGCTATCCAGGGCCAGTTCTTCGAGATGGCCTGTGAAGCGGCCGGTGAATTGGCGGCGGAATTGTGGCGTCGAGGTGGGCAGAGTGAGGGACTTTTGGATGACGTGGGAGGCGGTGGGGTCTTTGGCGATGGTGAGGAGGGATTCGGGCGTCTGGGAGAGGAGGCTGCTGTAGACGAGGGCGCTGAGGGGGCCCGGGGCTGTGAGGATGGTTTGCACGAAGAGGGAGTTGTGGAGTTTGGCGCCCTTGGGGTTCGTGTTGATGTTGGCGTTGGCGTTGTCGGGGTCGAAGTTGGGCATTGTGGGGGGTTGTGGGTGGTCTTCGTCTTGGTCTTCGTTTTGATTTTGTTGGTGTTGGGGTTCAGAGGGGGTGGTGGTGTCCTCGAGAGTGAGCATTTGGGCCAGTCGCTTGGCCGGGTCGCTGTCGTAGGCGGTTTCGAGGGAGCGTGCGATTGGGGTGGTGTCGACGCCGCGGACGATGCATCGCTCGACTAGGGTCTTGGGGACGATGACGCGGGAGCGCTCGATGAGGTTGGGGATCTGGGGGACGAGGAGTTCCACGGCGTTCTCGAGGTCGTCCTTTCCGAGACGTTCTAGGACTTTGAGCACGACGTAGCCGGCTGTGATGTTGCGCGACAGGGAGCGGAGTTGGTCGCGCAGGAAGTTCTTGTAGAGTCCCTTGAATAGCTTGCCCGGCATGTATCGGACGATGGTCTCCAGGAGGCGGGATCCCACGGGGTCGTAGAGAAGGCCGCGGATGAAGGTGGTGCTTTCTGTACCCTCTTCGAAGGTGTCGTCGGGGATTAGTCGGCGGATGATCGACTTGGGGTCCTTCGCGCTGGCCTTTCCGAAGTGGGAGAGCTCCAGGTATACGAGGACTTGGAGGACTGGGTTTCCGACGGGGTGGGTGGCAAGTGCGCGAAGATAGGTGTCGTCGAGCACAGAGACCATATCCTGCATGACCTTCTTCAGGGTGCCTTCGAATGATTCGGGCACGCTGCGCTTCTGCGCAACGGGGTTCTCGTCCTGCACTTCGTTGAGGACGCCGTGTCTTTCCTTCTTGCGACTAGCAACGACCGAATCGCTCAAGGATAGATCGACCGGCTCACCTGCCAGCACCAGAAGAAGAACGCGAATGGTGTGCGACGCAAACCGCTCCGTCAGCAAGTATCCCCAGTTTCCTTCCAGCTCCTCGATGACCTTCATGAACATCTCCGCTAGCGACAGTTCGGGTTCGGGCTCGTCTCCATCCTCGGCGTCGGTTTTGCTAGCCTTCTTGGATGGCTTTTGCGACACTCCTGGTGCAGCGTGGATGAACAGAGTCTCGCAGCAATGACTGGCGAATCGGTGCTGGACCAAGTGCAAGAAATGTCCGATGAATTTGTTGAACAGTCTCCGGATCTGGCGTATGTCCGACATCGAGATCAACTTCTCCATGAGTCGCGAACAGGACTGACTGCACGAGATCTTCAATTCCTTGCCCTCGGCCTCCTTGTAGACACTCTCAACGAAGACTCGTCGCTCCTCCGCATCTCCGAACTGGTTGGTCTCCAACACCTCGTTTGCACGCGAGAAGTATTCCTGCTCCTCGGGATCGAGAAGACCATAGAAGGGCATATCGCCCGTCTGCGCCATCTCCTCGTCTTGTTGTTGTCCATCGTCCAAAGCAATATAGTCGGCACCGTTAACGATGTCGTTGGTCTCGTCTTCGGAAGGTTTCACTCGTTTGGGCACGACATCTTCGGGGGCGTCGTCGCGCTTCCGCTTGCTGGCTTCCTTGTTGGCTTTTTCGGTGGCGCGACGGCCTCTCTTGACCTTTTCACGAGGCATGATGTGACGATGTGCAATTGGGAGTTGAAGGGGGAAGTTTTCTTCTCGCCGATTCGCTTTTTTTCTGCGTTTTTCCCGCAATCGATAAGCGGTGGTCCGAGCGTCTTCCACCGCAGTTTGTCTTGTTTGCATTGCCTTTACTCTTCCCAGATCAACTTTCATTCCACAATAACTTCCTCATGGATGTGATTGCTGACAATATAGATAATGGATTTACTACAGAGATAGATAATCTGACTACAATAAGGAAGAAAAAGGCCAAGAACAAAACTGATCAATTCCTCAAATGCTTACAAGAGCACATCTCAAAATCTCACTGAACTTCTAGCAGACACCGATGTCCCTTTGTTGATAGAAGGAAATGCAGAACCTGCTCCATGTCCTCATCGCTCATCCCTTCACGAGATGATACCTCTGATCGGGGAAATTGGCGGAAGAAATGAGCAGTAGCCAAGCGCAGCTCTATCCGAGCCAAATGCAACCCAAGACAGTCTGTTACAGTCAGGTTAGTTGCTGGCGGACGCTCTCCTAACTGTTGACAGTCGGCACTTACTACGTGTCCCTGCTCCGAATGGCATAAATGCATCTTTCATCTCTTTGGTTGGTGAAGCCCAACGAGAAGGATTGAATCTATACATGTACTAGTCAGCAACGCCGGATTTGACCAGCCCGGGAGCGAATGCTTGGTCCACCTACTTTTCGGGTTCCGGGAATGCAACTGGATCACGATGCAAGCTCCAGAGTTGCGTCGTTACAGTGCTCCCTCCGGGGACCCAGTGGCCATCGAATGTTGCCCCCTGTGGTGGTACAATGCGAGGGAGAGCACAAGGAACAGCGGAATATAGGCGCGAGGCTTCATCAATGACATGGTTCAAATAGGTCAACTTCTGGATATCTTTATCAGAAAATCGTTCGGGCAGTGTGGCCACCTCGGCAACAAGTGCTTGCCGGATGACTGGTGTCTTGCAGACTGCCCAGGTGAGATAGGTCAAAGTGTTGGCGGTGGTGTCACTCCCAGCCACGATGAGGTCAGTGGCATCGTCGCGGATTTCAGCGTCAGACAGTCCTTCCTTGCCAGCATTGTAGAGTTTTGAGAAAAGCGTGGGCTTGACGTTGTCTGGACTAGCGTCTAGCAGCCTTTTGTACCGATTGATGGACTCGTCAGCATAGTCCACGAATCGATTTCGGCTCTTGTTAGCCTCCCTGAGGAGAGGAAGCGGCAGGAACTCCGCAAGCCTGAAAAGCCAAGGGAAAGCAACTCGAGACTCCCCGACCAAGGCCGCTATCTCTAGGTCTTTGATGTGTAGATTTTTCTGTACAGCTTGGTCAACACACGTCAAGAAGCTCAATCGCGATAGGCTATAATACTTTGCCTTGCTCCAACATCCGAAACGAGTCCCCGAAGGACAGTTCACCGATAATGTCACTGGACATGAAGAAAAACCACTTCTGGACATCTGCCACCTTACGGGTGGCCATCTCCTCTTGCATGCGTTGCATAGTGAAGCGGATGCGGGCCTCTATCAAGGGCTCCAGCGAATGCAAGTTTGCATCTGCAAAGGGCGACGAAAGGAGCCTGCGATGTTTACTGTGGAATTTGGGATCAGTAGCACTAAAAACACTTTTTGCATTGTCGTGCTTGAGCAGTTCGTACACTGGCGACTTCAGGAAGCCACTTCCTATGCGATGGATCTCCCGAACCCCAGCAATCTCAGCAATGTCGACTGCGTTTGGGCCAACCCGGACGACAGGACCTACATCAGGGCACGCAATTAGCGCTGAGGATGCTTCTTTCCAGCGAGATACCCTTACCATATTGTCGATGTAGCGCTTGCACATATCGTGGCCGGTTCCCTATGACCGTCTGATATCTGACGAAGATATCCGTCCACTTGCACAGGAAAGGGCCGGGGACCGATGACAATGAGTTCCTTCGTTCGCGGTAAATTTTCTACTCGCTTGCACGTTTAGCCTCAAACTGCCAGGCAGAAACAGCAGTCAACTTACAATTACGATATAGAGGATGAAGGAAAGAAAAACCAAAGCCGGACCATGGCCAGCCACGAAACTCGACCCCATAGCGCTTGCTGGCTGAAGAAATGGTGGATCCTTAACGAACTAGTGTTACGAGCGACCGTTAATCCTCGATAGATTCTCTTCATCATGCAGAAGGAAGGCAAGCTAGCATTCCGGACCGCTTCCTCAAAACATTGCTGAAACATGGGACGTGCGAGGAAGTGATATTAAGTACAACCGAAAACGGACTGCAACCGAAGCTTCTACTAGATAACAGTACATCAACACCTCCAACAGCCAATAAGGGAGTACAAGCTTATGAACTGGCTCATGCTCTATGGTTGTGCGAGGTAGCGACTATCTCAGATTGTCCGCGGATAGAGCAGCCGAGAACCTGACGCAAGGTGCAGGGCAATCGCAGTGTTGAGATGAACTGGATGACCATCATCCATTGGGCTCCGCACTCAGTCCCTTCTTGATGAACTGGGATTTACCCCGAACCATCCCAGCGGTGTAACTTCCTGGCGTAATGTAGTTGCAGTTTGCTGCATACCTTGCATATCAACAGTTACACTGGTGAACTGGCTGCCATTGAGGCAGCCAGGGATCGACATCACAGATGATGTGGCACGACAAAGCCATTATTCAATGTGGAATAGAAGTCAAATCTCTGAATGATCACTGATTAGATAAAATCGGTCACTACTGAGCCGACCGTCGTTCATCTTTAGTGATGGCCGCCAAGTGGCACCGTTTGAAACCCCTATCTCGACCGCATCCGGCGACTAAACACAACCCTCAATCAGGAGAACGACAGCACCTTCGCACAAACCTAATATATTGCCATGGCCTGGCTGACAGTCGCGTTCCCGAACGACTCAACTTAATTATCCCCCTCAACTGTTCATACTTCGGGTCGCGACTCTCATCCAAGCTCCCCATTGGCTCGCGGGCGGTTCCGAGCATCATCGACTTGCCCTGGATACAACCTTGCAATCGCTGGCCAGCGTCATCTATCCGTCAACTTCCGGATACCGTTGCTGGTTCGCTGTGCTATGACCCCTGTTACAATTAACCCTGAAGTTGTCTCATCCCTTTCCCTCCGCTGCTGCTCGGTCGCGATGCATGCGCGGCTTCAAGGCACCAGCAGAAGTTGTTGACAGGAGCTCAAGCCAATCAAGGTGATCCCAGAGTGTCTCAATTGACACGACTAGTTGGCTTGCGATGCCTCTGCTGTACGTGCGGGCTGTAGTCCCCTTCGAGGCCGGGGCAAATGCCACCGATGTGCTCATCAACGAGGTCCATTTCAATCGAACCGCTTTGAATTACTATCACTACACGCTTTTCAGCAATGGGACTCTTTCTAATGGTACGGACTGCTATCTCGCCTTTAATCAATTCCAACCACACATGAACGAGAATGGGACTTTCGTGAACGGGACCTCCTGCTATGCACCCATTCGGGATATGGGTCGACATGCGTCGGCTGGCCTGGCCTTTGCCTTCATGTTTGTCTTCGCCATTGTCTTCACCTTGATCAACATGCGCAAGCATAGCCGGCGGTACCTGCCTGCTGATCGCCGGTGGACACTCCTGGGCCGTCGGGCGAAATGGATCTGGATGCTTTTCATTGCCGCCTGCGGCACCATTAGCTGCTTCATGAGCATCGACGTGGATCGGGGGTACATCGTGAGCGTCCCGTTGATTCTGCAGAGTGTGTTCTACACGCTGTTGACGCCGGGGATGATGGCCGCGGTATGGGAGGCGGTGCGGCACTGGTCAGTGATGATAAGTTGCATATCCAGTCCTGTGGAACAGAACTGACACAAATTGCAGGGGCTCCTGGCAAGAGCGTCAGATCTACGATCGGGATCCGTACGCATTCCAAGTATCCAGCAGCCGGCAAGGGCAGGAGTTTGTGCTCCCGCTCGTCTTTTACGGATGCGCTTTGGCCAATTTTGTCTTGACCGTTCCGCGCTCCTGGACTGCCATTGAGATGCAACGCAGTCTCGACCAACAGCTCAATGAAGCCAAGCCAGTGGCTACAGATGTACGATGGCGTGCTGCTGGGTTTGTCGCAATAGCTGGCGTCTTAGTGATCTGCTACAGCCTGGAGCATAGCATCTACCGCTACCGGGCGCGACCGACCAGTACCATAGGTCAGCTCTTATTCTACCTGAATGCGGCTCCATCGCAATTCCTTATAGGTATTGTGTTGCTTGGCATAAAGATCGGCTACGCTATTGCTTCTGCCTTCGACTGGACGATATCCCCCTTAAGATACGGGGTCGATTCTGGATGGTTTTACGGGCTGGGATACACACCGGTGCTGCTCTTGCTCATTCTGTTCAACATCTGTGGATTCTGTGAGCTGAATGAGGATAAAGCCTTGATCGTGCAGCGAGACGAATTCGACCATGCAGTTGCCGATGCTGTGGGTGTCGGGCAGAGGAAGCCCAGCTGGTGGAAGAAGAGCCGTACCTTCGTTCGAGAGCTTAGTGACCATCACCGACGCCAGGGCTCGCAGCAAGACGATCGTGATATGGGTCGGTTTGTGGAGATGGGGATCATCAAGCCACGAGAGCAACCGCAGGATGACGAACCCAAGCCAGAGACATGGGTGACGACGCGGACTGCCAGTCAGGGTAGTGAGTCGACTACGGTGGCGCATACGGAGAGCAATCCGGAGAGCAGCCCACCGTATGTCGAGTATACATTGCAGCAAGAATTGTCTCGGGATTCTTCTAATGAGACAGATGTACATGGGCGCCCACAGACTGGGAGGGACATATTGGGATAAGAAGAGAACAAGCCTGGAGGAATACGGATGACATTGGAGGAAGTAGATTGTCAGTCAGTTTGAGATGTATTATGAGTTGATGATTATGTAGGCCAGATAAATAATATATATGGAAGCCAATGAAATGAGATTATCCACAGGTGGTGATACCCATGCAGACTATAGATAATTGCACGTGACCCTATGATTGCATGTTTGTTCGGTTTGCCTCACTGCCTCCCATCGTAAAGCTTCAGGTCATCCTCCATCACCCACTTCACTGCAATTGCTCAGACAGACCACAATTCGCGTCTGGATAACCCAAAGACAAAGAAGCGAGCAGGTCTTGCACACCATATTACCCCTCAGTGATTCTACCCACCCGTCCTTCCAACTCACAACATGGAACCCGAAAAGCGCAAATACGCCGCCGGGCCTTCCCTGCCACCCACCAGCGAAGATGACTCCAGCAAACGCCGCAAAGTGATCGGTCCAGCTCCCCCTCCTCCCTCCGCCAGCGCAGACGCCAATACCTCCGACAACAACTCCTCCGATGACGACTCGGACGATGACTTCGGACCCAGCCTCCCTCCGCCAGAAGGCACCGTCTCTTCTATTCCCGACAGCGGCGCAACACAGCCCGCCCGCTCCGAAACTACTCCAGAAGCACCAAAAGCACCTCAGCGCGATGCCTGGATGCTAGAACCCATCGACGGCTCGAACCGCAACTCCCGCGTCGACCCCACGAAACTCCGCAATCGGAAATTCCAAACCGGGCGGGGAGCCAATACTACGCCCAGCGCGGGCGGGCTGGATGTTTCCTGGACCGAGACGCCAGAGCAGAAGATGAAGCGCTTGCAGGATGAGGTGCTGGGTGTACAGACACGGCCTACTGCTCCTGATGCGGGGGATTCGGCGGGAGGAGCGCGCGGCGCACAGCCATCGCGGGCCATGCAGGAGAAGATCCATCGGTATAATGAGGAAAAGAGAAAGGAGGAGGCAAAGGCGAGGGATGCGGAAAGGAAGAAGAAGAAGGATGGAGAAGAGGAGGAGGATGATCCTAGTGCTCGGGCGTTTGATAAGGAGAAGGATATGTCGCTGTCATCGAAGATAACGCATGCGCAGAGACGGGAGATGATGAATAAGGCGGCGGACTTTGGGTCGAGATTTACGAGTGGGAAGTTTTTGTGATTGCGCGAAGCTTGTTCGGTATCTATCACGAGGGTATTGAACAACTTGCTTCGCATGGTTGCGGCTCTGTCGTACACAGGTGTCGTACGGTCTATCCGTTTGGTGATCAATTCTGCATAGGGTGATGACTGGCGGCCGGATGCTGCGCAGCTCCTTTATGCCAATGGTCGTTTCGGACAGACCCACCGCCCTGAACAGCCAACGTTGATACTTCCCTCGTTGGATCTGATAGCATCACCTGCTGTTCGATATCAAGGCTCATGGTGCCGCGCAAAGGACCGGTGATGCCATCCCAGTTGGTAGCCGCGGCGCGGTGACATGTTGGAGCACTGAAGAGTGGACTATGGCGATCATGGAACTGTCTTCTATAGTGTCCTCATAGGTACAGATAGTAGGCTGATTCGCCGGAGTAAGATAGATTGGGTTCTCCGAAACCCGCCAAGATAGAAAGATCAAGATAACTTTAATTGGCGGCTGGGCTGGTTCGGATGGCGATCCCGCAGATAACATCTGGTGTGATCCTGGGTTACATCCACAGGCTTTGTGTTGTATATAGTTTATGTAAAGGCCATGGAGAAGCCTAGATGAACAAGCTCTATTATCAAAGTTAGCTATAATTATTATCACTTACGTAGAGGAAATAGTCAACGGAGCCATTGGTCGCATCTCCGCGGGATGATCGGCTGATCTTATCAGACCATCGATGATGCGGGGAATGTTTTTGCTCCGCCTTGCTTCGGCTTCGTTCCTTGCTTTCATCATCAACTATCCCCTCTCCTCTCTATTCTTCCCTCCTCATCCTTTCTCCCTCCTCTACAAGTCCACCACCATGAACCTCCGCCAAATAAACGCCCACAACCTCTCCACCTTCCGCCACCACTATGTCTCCGAGATCTCCGGCTCCCTCGGTGACCTGGGCACATTCCTCCCCATCGCCATAGCCCTAGCCGTCAACAACACCGTCTCCCTATCCAGCACGTTAATCTTCTCCGGCCTCTTCAACATCCTCACCGGCGTCTTCTTTGGCATCCCCCTTCCTGTCCAACCCATGAAAGCCATTGCTGCCGTCGCCATCGCCCGCAGCTTCACCAACGGCTCCATCGCCGCAGCCGGCCTCTTCGTCGCAGCCTTCATCCTCCTCTTCAGCATAACCGGCCTTCTCACTCGCTTCACCAACGCCATACCCATCCCCATCATCAAAGGAATCCAAGTCGGTGCCGGGCTCTCCCTAATAATCGCTTCCTGCAACTCCCTCCTCAGCAACCTCTCCTGGCTCTCCCCATCCTGGGCCGACAACCGACTCTGGGCCCTCGCCGCATTCTGCTTCCTCCTCTCCACCACCGTCTACCGCACCGTTCCCTATGCCCTCCTCGTCTTTCTCCTCGGTCTCGTCTTCGCCCTAATCCTCGCCGCCCTAGCCTCCGACCTCCCCTCTCTCTCCCTCTGGCACCCCTACACCGTCCTCCCTACCCCCTCAGACTGGTCCTCAGGCATCTTCGACGCCGGAATCGGCCAAATCCCCCTAACAACACTCAACTCCATCGTCGCCGTCGTCCACCTCGCCCATGATCTCCTCCCCACACACACCAACTCCTCTCACCTCAACGTCACCTCCATCGCCCTCAGCGTCTCCGCCATGAACCTCCTCGGCTGCTGGTTCGGCGCCATGCCCGTCTGCCACGGCTCCGGCGGCCTCGCGGCCCAATACCGCTTTGGGGCGCGTTCCGGTGCCAGTATTATCTTCCTGGGTGTGTTTAAGCTCGTGATCGGCGTGTTCTTTGGTGAGTCGTTGGTCGGGTTGTTGAAAAGGTTTCCGACGGCGTTGCTAGGTGTTATGGTTATTGCGGCGGGGATGGAGTTGCTTAGTGTGGGCGAGAGCCTGAATACGACGGGGGCCAGGGATATAAGGAAGGCGGTTGCGGGTCAGGCGGGTTTGACCGGGGAGGATTTGGGGCCTATGTTGAGTGATTTTGAGAGGAAGAAGAGGTGGATGGTTATGATGGTTACGGTGGGACTGTTGGTTGGGTTTAAGAATGATGCTGTTGGGTTCTTGGGGGGCTTGTTGTGTCATTGGGCTTTTGGCATTCCGGCCGCGGTGGAGTGGGGGGCGAGGAGGTGGAGAGAGGGGAGAGTGAGGTTGGAGTAGATGTAAATGTTATTTCAGAGGGGAGTGTGGTGAGAAGTGTATATATGAGGGTTGGGGTTGGGGTTTGGTCATATGATATGGTATTGATGATGTGTGATGAAGATATGTTACGATATGTGATTGCATTGCGTGCTGTGATTCTGTGTTTGTCTGCATTTGGATGTGCTATCCTGCTGTGTAGAGCCTTGTTTGAGCAAAGATGCTTTTATTTTCTATACTCTATATGATCAGTCTATCTCTATCTCTATTCTATCTCTCTATACACTATATATGCAACAACTGTACAGTCATCCCCTGGGCCAGGGTACTGGCCCGAAAACTTCAACAAATCAACACACTCATCTCACACACTCATATCATATGCATTCACAACCCCTCGCTCTCATGTCACACACCACGCCACCGCTCCAAGACAAGCAGAAAAGTCTATGGCTACCCTCTACTCCGCCTTCTTCGAAGCCTTCGTCCGGAGCTTCATCAATGCAAACACCAACGCATACCCACTAATTGCAAAAATGACCGAGATTCCCGCGTCCCGCCATCCGTAAAAGTAGTGGTTGATATTCAATGTGGTCAAGAAGTCGCTTCCACGGCGGTACTCACACACCCGACAAGTCGAAGTAGCATCCGGGTTGGTCAAATTGACACGCCAGCCCTGACCCGCGATGTAGTCCTTCAAGTATTCAGCGCAGGTGCCATTGGTAGGGTTGAACAGCGCAAACTCGTCCTCGTTACAGGTCACCTTGGCATCCCACATATCAAAGGTGAGCATTCCCGAGACGACATAGTTGAACGGGTTGAGGTAGTAGAGCCAGTATTTCCAGAACACGTTGAGTTGCGTGTACGGAACGAAGATACCACAGAAGAGCACCAAGATACTGATGATCATGGGGTTCACGAGGGCAGCAAAGGTAGGATTGGGCGCGTAGGCTGCGATGAACTGGCCGATACCGGTGTAAATGAACTCGTAGATGAGCATGATGAAGAAGGTAGCACCTGCCTTGTTGGAATCATGAGGCAGGCGTACGCAGTAGTACCAGCAAAGAAAATACAAAACTGCGCATACACAAAGGTACGGGAACTCGGATACAATCAGACCAATGACGAATGAGATCCATGAATACATCTTTGACTTCTTCTCTCGTGCGTCGTAGATATCGCGTCGCTGGATAAACAATGGTTGGAGCTGATTGATAACACCTGGTGCAACGAAAACAAAGTTGAAAATAGTGAACATCTTCAACTGCAGGGCTGTCACACTAGGACCCACTCTCCAAAACGAAAAACCATTGAGCAAGGCGGAGATGATATGTAGGGAAAATTTATTGTTAACGTAGTTGGTATTTCGGAAAAGAGCCACGTTCATTCTGTGGGTAACGATCTTCGTCTGTTCCCAGAGCGGCATCGAGAACTCGCATCCATCGTCGTTAACACTGGAGGGCTTCGAGGCAGCCTCGGATAACAAGTGATCAAGCTCGGTGATCATCTGCTGATGTTCAGGCGACTCAAGCCAAACCTGGTGCCAGTCTTTGTCCTTGACGCTTTCGATGCCTCCGGTGACCACGTCGATCATGAATTCGGCTGGATTGGCCTCAACGGGGCATTGTGCACCATATTTGCCGAAATAATGTTTGATTGTCTGCCCATTTTCGCCGATATCGCCAAAATACACAGTTTTGCCGCCGCGTGCGAGCAGCAAAAGAGTGTCGAACTGCGCGAATAACTGGGCAGAAGGTTGATGAATAGTCACCAAAACAGCCTGTCCAACATCGGCTAACTTGCGAAGAAACCGCACTGTATTATAAGCAGACTGTCCATCCAACCCAGAGGTAGGCTCATCCAAGAAAATCAAGATACTCGGTTTGGATACAAGCTCCACACCAATAGTCACTCGTTTTCTTTGTTCCACACTAAGGCCATTGCCAACTGTGCCGATAAGAGTGTCTGCCAGATCATGAAGCTCAAGCAGGTCAATGATGGTATCAACATACTTGAGTTTCTCTTCTCTAGGGGTTGTCCGGGGTTGGCGCAATAATGCAGAGAATTCTAGAGCTTCCCGAACCGTAGCGAACGGTTCGTGAACATCCAACTGCTCGCAGTATCCAGCCATTCTTTGAAAGGACACAGGTAACGGCCGGCCATCAACCATGATAGACCCAGTAATGGTGCCCTCCGTCTTTCGCTGTGCAAGAACATCAAGTAAGGTTGTCTTGCCCGCTCCTGAAGAGCCCATAAGAGCCCCAAGCATACCTGGCTTGACCCAGCCGTGGATATTATCCAACAAGACCCGGTCGCCGGAAGGTGTTTTGACAGTGTATTTAAGGTTCTTCCAGGTAAAGACGGCAGTATTGCGGGAAAGGTTGCCATCCACCTCCGCAGTCGTGTCACTAGTGGCAGCTTTAGTTTGCTCCTTTTCCTTAATCTGAGACTCCTCGTCAATGCTTTTCTGGTGCTGCTTCAAGTTTTCACGGGGGATCAACAATGAAGCACTTCCCCCGGCACCGGCTTTCCAATACGTGGTGCAAATAATCGTGAGCACGGCGAAGAAGCCCCACCACGCCCATACGACCCCAAAATTCCTCCAGAGCTGCGAATGCTTGTAATGGAGCGAGGAGAGATACTGGTCACCGGTCACATAGTCTGCACCAGGCAAAGCACCGCCTACTCCAGTACAAGCTTTGTTGGCAGAGTCGACATCCTCATATCCAGGGCCGGTAGGGACAATATTCTTTCCGACACAAGGGATAACCTGACCGTGAAACTCATTCGACAGCGCTGCTTGGAAGGCATAAGCCATTGGGTTGGTGTAGTAGAGCTCGAGGAACCAATTTTTGACCTTTGGTTTAGGGATCATATAGCCAGCATACATGACGATTCCTTTGATAGCGGTTCCCGAAATCTTCGAAGCGGCTTCGAAGGTACTGAAGGCTGCACCAATGCATCGAAATAGTGCTGTAACACACTAATTAATGTTAGTTGAGAGCTATTACTGGGCTTGGAATGACTCACTAAGGTCGTGGTGAACAGGATGATCCAAAAGGTGAAAAATGCCGCTGCTGTTGCTTTGAGCCCGACCATCCAATATAATACGACTGAGAAGATCGTGCATTGGAAGAGTAGCACCGGAAAGTCAGCTGTTATTTGCGCCAAGCAGAAGGCAGCCGGATGGTAGAAAGCAAATCCCTTATGCTTGATGAGCACAGGGCGCCCTTTAAAGGACTCAGTAACCTCGGACATAGCGACGATCGTGTTGTACAACAGGGAGAAAAAGACTGCTCCACCTTTTGTGAAGAGCCCGGCAGATGTCTGGGGAGCGTTATAAAAGCAGGATCCGGCAATCAAGGCCATGACCAGAGACAGAATCTGTTTGATCAAGAATGTGGATTTCTCCCCCCACAGAATCTGATACTGGCGCCGCGTACATGCGAGAACTTGGGTCCCAAATCCAGTGGTGAACGGACTCTTCTGTGGTTGGTGTGTGGTCTTTTCGAAGGCAACAGACTCCTTGAATGCCTCCGTCCGCTCCTTGGCAACTGCGCTTGTGGGATAGTCGTATTCTGCTGTCATGTGGCTGTAGATAGCTGACGCCTTATACTCTGCCATGATAGCATCGGCATTCCGCGGAAACCTGTTTTCATACCCAGGCCTTATCCTTCGCTCAGTAGGCACGGTCACACCTGTTAGAAAGTCACCTAGCAAAAGGTAGATGTTAGTCGAGATTCCGCAGTGGGAGATAATTTGAGACGACTAACCAACATTGGCACCATCGGTATAGACAAACCCCAGGTTCTCCATGAAAGGTTTTGCTGCAGCTGCAGGGCCATAGAAGATTTGCTTCCCCTCGTCCAGAACCAAGACCTTATCAAAGAGGTTGTAGATTCCATTCCCTGCTTGATACAGGGTCACAATTGTTGAGAGTCCGAGAACGTTAGTCATCGCTCGCAAAGCCTTAGCCCACTCCAATGCAGTACTGGCATCGAGACCACGGGTACTGTTGTCCCAGCAAAAGACAGATCCCCTTGTTGCCAGGCATTCAATGATAGATACTCGCTTTCGTTCTCCTCCTGATACGCCCCGCACAAACTCGTTCCCCACCTTCGTGTCCGCGGTATGTGAGATCCCCATAGATTCCATGAGGAACTGCTTTGTCTCAGCAGTATACTCGCTCACAGATGCGGTACCATCAGGAAGATGAGATGGAACTTTGAGCCGAGTAGCAAAGTCCATTGTTTGACCAACGGTCAACCGGGGGTAGAATAGCTCTTCTTCCGTATTCATCACAATATGGCTTCGATATTGAGCTGCTTCTTCATGGGATAAATTTCCAAAGCTCACGTCGCCCTTAATGGTATGGTAGCCATGGCGGCGATTGGAGAGTAAATTGAGAAGAGTGGTACACCCTGAACCCGGGCGCCCCAAGACTAGGAGCATCTCCCCTGGCTTGACACAGCCGTGACTTTCCGTCAATATAGATTTCAGGGGTGGTTTCCGGGTGAAGTCACGGATTCGTTGAGGTACGTTGAACTGGGAGAATAGGTTCTCATTGACTGCTGCCTCCGCTGCAAGGACATCCACGCCGAGGTTCTTCCAGGTCACACCTAGCTCTCGCTTCTTGAATCCTGCCGCAGCCTCACGTTCCTGGCTCCGGATGACCTGCGGGGTCATGCTCCATTCCGCATCTTTCCCAGGAGGGGAGGTGGTGTTCGCATGGGGTACTGTCAGGGTTTCTGAACTTGGAGCTTCTCGAACATTTATATGGGGAACATTCAGTGTGTCGAGACTCTTTCGTTCTGGAATTGGTAGGTCGGAAGACTTTTCGTCTTCCGGGAACTCAGGAGGATTCATGACAGCTGAATTAATAGCCGGACAAGATTGATAATACACGAGATATTGCGTTTCTGCAGTTCACGAGAATGGAAGCATCTTATATATACATCTACGGAGCCCCTAGGGGTCTCCAAAATGATGAAGAGCCTCTAGTAATACCTCAATTGAATTGGGTGAGCCGAGTACCCGCGAGTGGATTACTTACAGACGAGAAACATTATGTGCACCGTGCACCTGCTATCTACTATCCATGAGGTTCCGCATCTGGTTCAATTGTTAGGGCGGATGATCGGCTTCTATCGTCTTCTCAAAACGGCAATATAATGCTATGGCCTCGGTTGTTTGCCCCATAGCTGTTTCACAGTAGATGAAATGTCCACGACAAATTCACGATAGCCGGTGGGTCGGCTTTCTAGAATACCTCGGGAAGATCATTTTTGCTCTCGCTTTTCTTTTCGATACCGTAGAGATAACCATATTCCAAGTAGCAATGATTGGCTGCAGCCAAAATGCGGGTGGCGAGGATGAAGCGTCCTCCGTCAAACAGTTGCGCTGGGGTATGTTAGTCGAATGACCGGATGTCACGCCCAATCAATATTTCAGCAGAAGCGCAGCGCTTGAAACTCTTCAGGCATTGCGTTGGGGGGGCCGGCATGCCGACTAGATCTGGCGGCATAGATAACCGACAGTCTCCCTTTTTGAGCGTTGCCGACCTATCCGGGTATCCAGACAATCCACATTGCTGAGGTTGTCCAGACCATCGCTAGTCTTGGCTAACCCACAAGAGCCCTGTTTAACGAAGCAATGTCACTATCTGTCTGCATAAGTCATCCTATGCCACTTATATCCCGCAACGGTATCTGGTTGGCAAGGAGGTCAATCATTGCGCCCATCATCGAATTAGGTATGAATCCGGGCTTCAAGTGGCGCTACTTACTTACTATCGGAAGAGGACGAATGGCTTGGCTTCAGGAGGCGGAAAAGACCGGAATTGAAATCCGCGAAAAATGCAGGACGGTAAAAGGGGTGGATAAATCGATTCGAACGAGGAAGGTGTCGCTGGCTAAGTTGGGGGTGAAGTGAGAAAAGCAGCAGTTCAGCCTGCTCGACTTGGCGGATTGGAGCCTCAGGTTCTCCATTCACATTCCTTCGCTCCTTCTTCCACCACAATAACTTGCTGTCCCAAATCAAGGATCGTCGTCCTCATATCTTTCTGATAACTCGTCCAGTCTCAGGTAAGCGTCTTTGGTGCATACCTAACTTAGACAATTGATGAGCAGTTAGCAATTGACACAGGAGAATATCTAGCAGATAGAAGATATACAGTATGCAGCACAGCATAGAATCAAAGCGAGCTCGTGAGAGCGCTTCCCACGGGATACTCCAAAACACCCATCTATGGTGTTGACACCAGAGCGCATGTGGAAGACCTGAGCGGTAATAGGGATGCTGGCGTCCATATACACGATGGGCAGGATATGGAAACATGATATAATACCAGCAGGATGAAATACCATCAGGCATGGCTGTTGCTTCTGAGCTACTCACTGGCTAAGTGAACTGAATCGGCATTCCGTCTCACCGACTCGTCAGGACGCGTCAAGCGTAAACTAGTATGCACACTCAGCGATCCCCTCCTTATATAAGATAGACATTGACAGGTGAAAAGATGGAACAAGGACATATCGAAGAGACGAAGACAAGTCTTATCTTGTTATCAGATACCACTTTAGTTTGATTTGACAAGTTTGCCATATCGCCATACATGCGTGATATTCTTCGGATCAGAGACCACTGTTATATTCTCTAGTGGGTTTGCTGTCAGTGCGATGATATCTGCGTCAAATCCCTCCCTCAATTGGCCACTCTTTGGCGCCTGGTCTCCGAGTGTTAACGGCCCATTGGCTGTGGCAGCTTCAACTGCAGCCAGCGGTGTCATGCCTGCCGCAACCGCGTACACCAGTTCTCCACCATTGCGTCCATATCCCAATGCGGGATTATCCGAGCTGATGAATTGATCTGTACCAAGAGCAATAGGCACGCCACGTTTGACTGCTAGCTGATACGCCCTCTTATGCGTATCAGCTACCTCGAGCAATTTTTGGTATGAGCCGGGCGTGAAGAGATCACGCATAGCAAGTCCGCTTTCGATAACACTGCGTGTTGCCACCAACATAGCCCCCTTCTCTAGCATCAAGTCGATAGCCTCTTCATCCAGATAGCTGCCGTGCTCAATCGTGCGACAACCCGCACGGAGAGCATTCATGATGCCTGCCTTGCCGTGACAATGAGCGGCCACAACGCGTCTTGCCCGCGCCGCCTCGTCAACAATAGCTTTCAGTTCTTCGAACGAGAATTCTTGATGCTGCGGGTCGTCGATAGCGCTCACTACGCCACCACTGGCGCAGACTTTGATGACGCGTGCCCCGTGCCGCAGCTGCTTTCGTACGGCCTGCAGACACTCAGGCACACCGTCTGCGATTGTCAAAGGCAAGCCATGCGTACATAGGTCACGCAAGCCCTCGAGATTCACACCGTGTACGTCTCCGTGGCCTGCAGTCATGCTGATGGCGCTGTGCGCACCGTAGATGGTCGGTCCTGGAATGCGGCCCTCGTCGATGACTCTGGCCAGCTCGCAACCGTATCCTCCAACTTCGCGGACTGAGGTGAATCCCGCCATAATGGTTGCATATAAGTCAGGCACACTTCGTGCCCCTGCCAATGCTTGTGGCGTATTCACAATAGAATCCATGCTCGCCGCCGTTGCGCCTAAGAAATGAATGTGGCAATCCCACATGCCTGGCATGGCAACGGGGACATTTGTATTAACAGCATCCTGATACTCGACTGGTACTTCATGCTGCGGGCCAGAATAGAGGATTGTGTTGGATTTCCAGACCACAGCTCCGCGAGGAATTGGTGCTCCCCTTCCTGGAATTAGAATACCCGCGTTGATGCGGTAGAGAGTGCTGTCTGTCAGAGGTCGATGCATAATTAAAGGGGTGGGTATGGGTTTAACGCAGTTCTGATCACAGTTCTGACACTGACAAGGATGTGATCCTAGTCCAGCTAGGAAAGCAGCATATATTAATTGAATGCAGGATGCCGAGGCTATGTGCTCATTTGACGTCGTGTGTCCACTTGAAGTTGGCTGATTTGTCGATAGCGACCGCATAAGACGCGAAGCCAGGCACTCGTGTGATGGCCGACAGTCTGGCGAGGCCCGTTTGGGGTTGCAATCTACTAGATCAGTAGGTCGAAGCGAGGATTTCCCGTGCCTATTCTGGCTTAGTTGGGCATACAAGCTATGACCGTAATAAACCGGCGTGAGCCTAAGCATGCCGCTAGTCGGAATGGCAACACATCGGCGGGCCCAAGCCTCGGCAGCGGCGTCACGCCAATAGCCCTAACGGCGCAGCGCCAGATGGTACCGTCAATTAATCCCGGGTCGAGACCGTACTGCAAATGATAGTATATTGTCCTGAACGGATGGTTAAAGAGCTTTCATGTCCTTCCTTTGCTACTCGCATCGTCCTAGCAAGGATTCTGTCTATTCAGAACAGCCATCCGACATGTCCGCCTCGGACAGTACGAACTCCTCTCCTCCAACGGAGGACGAGAAGAGCTTTGCTAAGGGCCCCAGTGAGACTATCCAACATCTTTCAGAGAGGGATGAGAAGGCCATCATTTGCCGCATTGATCTTTGCCTTCTTCCGTTAATGTTTTTTTCATACTTGCTGCAATATCTCGACAAGACCACCTTGTCGTATGCATCGATCCTGGGCCTTCTGAGTGGCACGGTATGCTCCGATCCCGTGTGCTCCTCAGCTTCAGCTTCACCTAACATTATATCAGCACATGACCACAGCTCTTTACTCATGGACCTCGAGTGCCTTTTATTTCGGTTACCTAGTCGCATCCTACCCTGTATCCCTGGGTTTTGTAAAATTTCCGCTCGGCAAATACCTTTCTACTATGATGTACGCTAGTACCCTTCCAACCCATATAACAATATACTAACGCGGGCCAGGATTCTATGGGCTATTGTCTTGACATGCCACGCAGCAGCTTCCAACTTTGCAGGGATGACCGTCCTACGTGTACTTTTGGGAGTCTTTGAAAGCGCCATAAGCCCCGGGTTCACCTTGGTCGTGAGTATGTGGTATACGCCATCAGAGCACGCTCTGCGAAGCTGCATCTGGTTCGCAGGAAATGGCGTTGCTGCAATCTTCGGAGGAGTTCTCGCCTACGCCATCGGTCACATTGAAGACAGATTGGGGCCGTGGCAATGGCTCTTCATCATTTTCGGACTGATCACCCTGGGATGGTCGATATTCCTGTTCTTCGTCCTGCCCGACTCCCCACGTAACGCCAAGTTCCTTCAACCGAATCAGCGCGAGCCCGCCTACCTTCGCGCGCAGGCATGCCAGAAGAGCTACCAGAGCCGCAAATGGAAGAAAGATCAATTTATTGAAGCATGGCTTGACCCGAAAACATGGTTCTTGTTCGTCTACAATTTCATGGTCTCCCTACCAAATGGAGGCATAACAAACGTGAGTTCTCTCAAGCCATCTGAACCATATGAACGAAAGAAACATGCACTAAACAAGTAGGCAGTTCTCTAGCCTGGTTATTGAGTCTTTCGGCTTCGATACCTTCAACACTCTCCTGTACAGCATCCCCATGGCTGCTGTGGCTCTCGTCTTTCTGCTTGTTAGTGCGTTCACGTGCAATCGCTTCCGTGGTCTCCGCTGCTACTGGATGATGATCACTCTTCTGGTCAGCCTCATCGGTATTCTCCTCATGCGGCAGCTCCCTACCGAGAAGAAATGGGGTCGGTTGGTAGGGGTCTGGCTCGTCAGTGTCTTTGGTGCCGGATGGCCTCTTAGTCTTAGTCTGGTCTCAAGCAACTTTGCCGGATTCACCAAAAAAAGTACTGTGACAGCTATACTTTTCATTGGATACTGCGTGGGAAATATTGCCGGCCCGCAGTTGTTCAAGACCAACGAAGCGCCAAAGTACTTGGTAAGAGCTCTCTCTTCCATTTCACTCAGTCTTCCTTTGTCTGCTGTTATTGAGGTACTGACGGTACGTGTAGACTGCGTTCGCCGCTATTCTGGCCTGCTTCTGCATTGCTGTCGCGGATGTCATTGCTCTGCGAGTATACATGATGTGGGAGAATGAGCGAAGGAATCGCAAGCAGGGCCGGACCATTGAGCCCGAGTCACCAGAGATGGAGGATGCTGTCCAGGCGTATTCGGGCCACAACTATTCAGGCGATATTACAGATTGGCAGAACGAAAACTATCGGTACTGTTTGTAGGATAGGATAGAAGCAGGTGCAGGAGAATAAGTGTGCAGTAGGGTTGAAAAAGTGAAGAAAATTGATACTGCTTATTTCTGGAAACGATGCCTGGGGTATACAGCTGGAAATCATGTGCACGTGAATCAGGTGACGAAGAATCCTCAGGCGAAGCTCGTCTGCCACCCCAGGAATTCCATCACCAACTCCCACTCAAACCGACCGGTTCGTGTTCTCTCCCCTGCCACATAAAGCTCACGTCGCTGCCACAGTAATTCAACAACTGTCTGTGCCCGTACCGTGTTCTCATACGGGGCTTTTGCCTGAGCTGCCTGGAATTGTGCCAAGGCCCGTGCTTTCTCAGATACGGTCGTACTGCAGCACGAGGCAATGAAAAGTGGCCATAAAGGCCAGGAGATTGGGAGGTGATCCAGCGATGAGACTACTGATTCTACCAGAGATAGGATATAGTCGACATGGCGCTGCTTCCGCGTTGCATCCAACCCCAGACTGTGTTCACTGGTGTAGCCGAGGAAAGCTGGCGTGGACGCTTCTGAGAGAAGCAGGCACGCAGCAAGACGATAGGATTCGCCAGTGTACTCAAGAAGACGACGCCTATGGACAACCTCGGCGGAATCCTGACATCGTCGCAGTGATTCAGGGAGCAAATGTGTTGTGTCCTGGAGATTCCTTTGTAAAGTGATAATTTTGGCCTCGATGGCGCTTCGTCTCTCTTCAACTTCGAACCCTTCTCCATACATGACCTGCACATCATCCTTGAGGCTCAATATATCATTAATAAGCAGGAGCATGCGGTTACTCATGCCATTCCACACGTCAATTTCGCGAAGCGTATCCGGCTTCATGGCCTTGGACAGTGACTCTGAAGATGTCCAGCAAGTCCCTTCTTCTACAGGTGACGAGGGATCGTTCCGCACTTCTAAAGCTGGTAGTACCTTGTCAATTGGGAAAAGGGACTTTGCCAGCACCAGATGCGCCGAGAAGTAACTCATGAAAAGTTGCGGCACATATGTTTTTGTGTGGCGACGAATCCTCTGCTTGATGACCATCTGGAAACATGTCAGGTGGCGAACCCAAGAGGCGTCACAGCTGTGGGATATCTGCGGCGAGTCAATACTGACACTCATGAGAATACCAAGACCGAGGAGATTACATACAGCCGAAGAGCAGAGAAATATAGTCGGCAGCAGCACGTCTTCAAACTCAAAACAACTTTCCGCTAACGCTTGACGCAAGCCTTTGAGTACCCTTTGCCGGACCTGCATTTCAAATAGTTCAAAGCGACTATCGATTGATCTCAGGTACTGCGCGCTGGTCATGAGTACAGAATAATATGCCAATTCAGACCGAAATACCATGCGCATTACTGTATTGCGAAGAGGATTGGTTTCCTCGTTGTCGATAGTAACGGCAGCAGGGCACATCATCGACTCGTAAAACGACAAGCACACATCATCAACATCGGGTACACCGAGGGTCCAAGGCAAGGTTCGGAAATTGGTATTTGATGACTGGACCTTGCTTTCTTTCCAGTAATGATACTGACTCTGATATGTGTCTCGGGTCAAAAAAGAAACGCTTTTTGACGTCGCGGCCCGCAGTGGGCTGTGCGAAGAGGGTGGAGTGAGGATCAATGCGGATTCCCCGTCGCTACCAAGTTGATCTTTGCGTTCGATCCGCTTCGAAGACGGAAGTTGATCGTCCTCTTCAGATTCTTTGCATCGAAGCGAACCCCTTCTGGCTACGATCCCGGTTCGTCCATGGCATTTCCCCGCGGCCCGCATATCATCCTCCCATTGAAGGCGAACCCCGTAGTTGCATTGGTTCTTCGACCGTTGGCAGCGCATACATACTGGATGAGCTTCTGTACGCACCGGAGAATGAGCTTCGTTGTCGATCAAATTTGCCGTGCAGAACACCGGATCGAGTCATTAGGAGCACGAGGCTCCTATCAACCTAGGAATGGGACAGGCAATGGACAACACGCACCGTCGCATTTGACCCGTCTCCGACGACACGTAAGACAACCGCTGCGGGACCGGATTCTGGGCTGGGATGTCATCGGAGGTGACGAATCTGAGTCGGGGGAAGTTGGAGGGCCAGGGTTCAACGACCACGAGATGAACATGTCGACAGTCAATCATATTTTTACTATGACACTCAGCGCCAGATCCAGTTATTTCCCTTGTGAGAAGGATAAGATGGGGAACAGACCTTTGGGGGACTCCGAGCGGGCTAAACAGGCTTACGGAGGGGGAAGGCTATTGTGGACGGCCAGACACACGGCCATCTCCTACCTCGGGGTGGCCACGGGCGAGCTGAAAGCCTAACATGCGGTTAATATCGAGGGCTGGATGGGATTGGCGAGTGGATGAAGCTCCATCCGCCATCGGAACGCTAATCGCGTCCGAGGCGGACACTAATGAGGTTTCCCCGTACCCTGAAGACGGTAGGAACGGTCCGTCAGCCAACAGTCGCTGGATTCCCCCCTTCATCATTTAGTGGGATAGCAAGCTGAAACTAACGGTGTGATTGCGTGTCCAATCGCCTCGAACCACTGTCATCGGGTCTAACCATCGGCGGTAACCCGATTACTGACGCCTTCCAACCAAACTAGCGCGTTCCTAGGCTTTTCATCGGAGGATCGGACTCCACGTGAAGACCATCCTGGACCGAGCGCTAGATGGTACAGTTATCCACCAAATCTAGGTTCACTTTGTGAGATGGTTCGATGCGGCCATTTGACTGAGCTGTCTCAACTACTAGTATGGCAATATCCTCGAATCCCCACCATGTGTGCGAATTCTCTCTTCCCGCCTCAGGCAAAGAAATTACGCGACTAATCCTGCTGTATTCGATCCAGGTCCAGACCATGGAGTTTCCCATTAGTTCATTGGCAGGATTTCAATTTCAGCAAGTATTTAGCAGGCCTGCACCATGAGATCTAGAGCCCTATAAACCGATCGGGGCCTGCAGGAACCTCGGATTGACCAAAAGTTCTGGGCACATGGTGTGTTTCAGGGCATGTAGGCTATCATGACGAGCTCGCAAGAGACTGCCTCGAGGGCACCTGTGGTGATAGCTGGATACACCGTTTCTATCGTCTGTATGGTGCTATGCACAGGTTTACGGCTTTTTGTGAAAGTTCGTGGTCCATCAGAGGACCGCTTTCATGCAGATGACTACCTAATTACCCTAGCCACGGTGCATTTACCTCCCTATCGCCCGGTCCCTGCGCATACTGACGATCCTTGTTGTCTTTGATTAGATACTAGAGGTAGCGTACAGTATTATCATGCTGGCTGTCGGTATGAATGCCCTCACGCGTCTCTGACCGAAATCCAGCTAAAGTACGTAGGGGTGCGTCATGGTTTCGGTAAACATGCTTCAATTCTTGCGACTAGTGATCTACAGGCATTCTTGAAGGTACAATGAGCCATTGACTACCTCCGATGTAACTGACACATATATAGGGAGACTATGTTGCTAGCCACCTTTATAATGTCGGCCTGGCAAGTGTCAAACTCGGAATCCTCACCTTATACTACCGCATATTCGCTATACAGTGGTTCCGCAGGATAGTAATTGGCTGCGTCACATTCGTCTGCCTGTGGATTGCGACCATTGAGATCTTTATGGGCCTGCTCTGTCAACCACTGGAGGCTATCTGGGATGTCAGTGTCAAAGGCCATTGCTTCAACTCCAGCGCACTGTCATACTACGTCAATACCTCCAACATGATCACAGACCTTGTCATTTTGCTCTCCCAATAAGAGTGATTGTGCGGCTCCGTACGACCCGGAGCAATAAAATTGCCCTCTGTATTATATTTTCAATTGGATTCATGTAATCTCCTTCCCATACTGCCCTCGCTACCAGCCAAGCACTGACACTTCCATGATCACCAGAACATGCGGTATAAGCGCTGCCCGTCTAGCCTTCGTCTTTGCCGAAAGCTCGTCCGACATCACCTGTGCGTCCTCGCCCCTCTTCCACCTCCACAAACTACCACCACACTTGAACACACACTAAATGAAACAAACAAAGGGGACGGCGTCGACCTCGGAGTCCTATCCGGTTTTGAATCGCTCGAGGGCATCCTCTGCGCCAACCTCCCCATCATCTACCGCCTCTTCAGGCAAGCCGCACAAAAAGTCACCAGCCGAACAGGAGGCAGCTCCTCCCTTCCCCACCTACAGTATGGGCGCGAGTCCAAGAACTTCATGTCACGGTCGCGCCCTCGCCGACACCGTCTTGACGAAACGCTCAATGAACATTGGATCCAATTACAGAACGGCAATTCTTCGAATGACAGCCATCTCCCTGGGGGGCCACATGATTTCGCTGTGCAAAAGGTGGTAGACATGGAGACGGGGATGGAGGTAGTGCGGTTGAGTAATTTCCCAAATGCTATTACAGTGAAGAGAGAATTTCATCAGACGGTGGAGGGTCGTCGGTGATAAATCTCCTTTGGTGCTGTATGTCTAGAGAGTGGTCATTCATTTGTGTCCCTGTCAGGGGAGGGTTTCTTATGTTGAGGTAGACAAAAATAGATGAACAGTCACCCCTTACTTTGGAACTTTATAGGACCATGGTAACAACGGAATAGTAACTCATAAAAGCCCCTCCCTCCATTCTCACCCAAGGAGATACGTAGTCGGAAACCCTCTGAAGTTGGTTCCATACCACCGAAGTGGATATATTATTCTCGCAAGATACTAACTAGTGTAGGTATTGTAATTAAAGATGTAATACTGGATCAGCTTGTGGAGAGTAATGCCAAATGCGAAGTACTAGTAGTAGCAGGAGTATTAACTCGACATCGAGGCGATTGATAGTATACTACTAGTATAGATTTGCACTGAACATAGATATGAATCACATACTCTCAGGAACTCTACCTTTTGGCTTCTGGCTGGCTTGGTTACATCCGTCTTTAGATCGCATTTTCAGCTTTTCTGGTTGGGCTGGGGCGTAGCTGCTACAAATTTAGGGTTCGTATAGATATATAGTAACATTATTCGGGTTTTTTATCTATTAGCAGTTACTAACTAGTAGAGAACAGGTCGTTCCCGAGATGCTATGTAGGTCGGCTTTGAGAGGGATTATGTGTCTTCGGATGATTCAGAGTACATCTTTGTATCAACAATAATCAATGTTTATGTTTTCAACAATAAGTCACACGAACGAATGATATCAAGTACAGGAAACCTGACACGTACCCAGGCCAACCAGTCCAGTCCAAACCAACTTATCTAGATTATATACATGCATGAGAAGGCATTCACAAAAATGTAGTAGTAGACCTATAGACACATTGCGCCTTTCCGAAACCGCCCAAATAAAAGAACATAGCAAGGACAAAGAGGGGAATCGCCCAGCCATATTTACAGAATCACTATAGACAGACAAATCACAACACTTTGTAGGTTGGTGGTTTATTTCAACCGCCAATGACCATCCAAGCGATCATACCTCCCCACATGCCCACAAAAGCAATGGTCAGGATGGAGGCACCCGCCTTGTCGCCCGTGGTGATCTTCGATTCGGTACTGCCGCTGTCACCGGTGTTGTCGCCTGTACCCGCGTTCGGATCGCTAGTACTGTTGCCGCCAGTACTGGAGGTCACAGGGGCCGTTTGCTTCGTGCTATACAATGCGGAGGCCAGAACGTTGGTGACGGCGATCTCTTCCTCCATTCCGTTCCACCCATCCCACTTCTTGGGATACCAGCGCACACCACAGGTGTTGTTGCCCATTCCGTTGCAGGAAGCTGCGGCAGCTTCGGCGGACCCCTGCAGTTTTGGCAGAATGAGACTGGACGTCGACGGCATAATCAGAGCCACAAGCCCAAGCCATCCCGTGACGAGTCCCTTGAACAGAATTTCGTTGTCGTTGCACACTTCGGCCGGTTCGCAGAGAATTTCGGACATGATGTTTCCACCATACTTCGCCGGGAAGAAGGTGTCGAGCGTCACGTTCAAGAGACCCTCCGCCGCGTTCTTCCATTTGGCCTTGCCGGTCTGCGAATGGCATTAAATTAGCACCTGCTTCCTCCACACCTGGCGGGGAGCCGAAATTACTTACATAGTTGTACATGTACGCGGCTCCCGTCAAGAAGACACCGTAATTGTAAGACCACTGATTGTTTCCTTGGGTTTTGCAGTTATTATCGACATCGGTGGAGTCGGCCACGTTCCAAGTCTGGTTGTTTAACAACGGAGTCGAGGCACACCAATCGAAAATCTTCTCTGCCCAGTCGGCGTACGTGTCGTTGGAGGTGTAGCGGGCCAGGCGGGCAGCGAGTTGGAACAGACCTCCGTTAGAGATGGAGTTCTTCATGGCGTAACCGGCTTCATAAGGATAGATCTGCCAGCGCAGACCACCGCCACATGTCGAATCGTCCCATCGATCGACCTGAGTGTTGTAAACGCCCTGGGCCAAAGCGAGCCAGGAGTATCCGGAGGAGCTGTCGGCGAATTCGATCTCGGCAGCAGTGATGGCGGCAAGACCCCAGAACATTTGATCGTCGTTACCCTAACAGACGGCGAGAAGAGTCAGACTATTGTTCAAGCTCAGGGGGGGAAATGGGTATCGTCATATCGCTTACCAAGTAACTACTGTAGTTGGCGGGCATGTAATCGCAGTCACCCGCCTGCCATTGCATACCCTGACGGACCTCGTCGTTGTAGGTACTGTCTCCGGTGTAATACCAATAGAGGAGCAAACTTGTGAAGAGTGCACTACCTTCCCACCACTTGCTAGGGAAAGCACCGGGAATCTGACCGGTTTCGTTTCCATGATACCAAGTCATGGACCCGTAGGCGGTCTTACTGGCGGCATCCTTGATGGAACCTATACGGACGGTGATGATGGTAATCAGTTGTCAATTCACGGAACTGGTGTATGTTGTTGGATTGGAAGACACGGGGGACTAAAATTAGTGACGCAACTGCTGCCAATAATGTAGGAGAGGGGAAGGAGAACGGGATAAGGGACGGGCGGTGACAGCAGAGGATGTAATAAGAGAAAGAGATAGAAATGGGGGGGAAAGCATACTGGTACTGCTGATATCAATATCAATGGCGTGGGAGAGCTGAGAGAAAAGCGCCGTGTTTAGGAATAACCCCCCATACAGGCAATCTCGAACGAGACGCATGGCGGGAGGGAGCGGGGAGGGAAAGAGAGAGAAAAAGGGGTGGGAGGAGGAGAAGATGGGAAGGAAACGAATGTATAGAAGCGAGGGACACGGTCAAGGAAGAGACTGACCAGCAGAAACGGAGAGTAAACGAGAGTGTGAAGGGAAGAGGGGGTGATAGGATGGATGGAGACAGTTGACAGTCAAGTCAAGAATGGGGATGATGGCATTGCAGCAAGACAAGAAAAGCAAGAGGGAAATCAAGCTGCGTAGACGCCGGGCCAGGCCTATTTTTAATCGGCGGGAAAAAAAGAAGGGAAGAAAGGCCCAAAAAAGCCAACCATCGGCACTGGTGGAGTTGGTCCCCGTCCACGTCAGCTCCTCGTGCAATCAGCGTCCTCGCCCTCGCATTTCTCCTTGACCCCAAGGGTCATGGTGTGACAGGGTCAGAAGGGGTTCAGAAAGGAGCTAAAAGAGGGTGATGAAATTCCTGCCCCAATAGTCATCCGAGTTTATTTATTTGGTTCCCTGGAGAGAAGTTGAGGCTGGAGGGAAGTACTTTGGAAGTTCTGATAATAAATATCAATGTGAGCCTGAGGCCACAATACGAATACGGCATATTCCGATCATCAATTTCTTCTTTGGGATGTTTCTTTCCCTTTTTCTTGCCCCTGGAAAATCAAACCAAACAATAATCCCGAACAAAGGCTGAGTTGAGTGAGTTCTGGCCCGGCGGGTACCATGGATCCTCTTTGACTTCCCTTTCCCCATGAATGGCTGCCACAATCAGTCCGTCTCGCAACTTTGCGCCCGGTCGCAAAGATAGGCATGTCTTGCTATCACAAGCTTTCTTGCCCAGCACTGCTAATCCTCACCAAGCAATGCCGGGCATTCCGCAGTTTGAACTGTCATTGCAGCCTGTGATCTTGGCAGAACCCAATCAGCCGATCGGGGGGGAACAGTCAGGCCCCCCCCCCCTGGCGGGTACATCACAAGCACCACTCGGAATGCCATTGGGGAGTTTGTCTCTGCTCGGACGCGCCATCATCAGCGCTCTTTGATCAGGATCGTCACCTGCTTTGGGGTCGAAGCTTGCGATCGCTGCGAAGGGCTGTATCTGGTTACTATTCAGAGCGTTCTTCCTGTCGCTCTTGATCTTCGGTGCCTGGTATTCCAACACCCAACACAAACTATGGGACCTCGTTCGTCGCTCAATTTTCTGAACCTGAGTTCTTCGCATTTATCCCCCCTTCTGCAGGATGGCAATGAGCCGTTCTAGACTTCTGCGCCGTAGTTAACTGCGGAAGTACCTGCGTGTGTCAGCCTTGACACTCCGATCCCGGTCTGTCATGTGACGGGACATCGATGTTTGTCTGGTTTGTTAATCTCTCCTTCTGACTATCAACAAAGGTAGTACTTCATTGTCATTGATGATGCCATCTAGGCAAACAGCACACTGCAGTCATTCATATCGTTTTCCATTGATAACTATCAGTTATTTCCGAATCATAAGTATACAGGGTGGATAATCCGACGGGAAAAAAGAGACTGAGACATTGTCTTACTTTCAGTTATCAATATGCCGCCCTCCCCGTCTCCGTCATCGTCTCCACCACTATGTTCCCGTAAGCGAAACTTGAGTTTCATGTTTACAAGCCATTGCTCACTCAGCTCAGGACGATAAATATGCAATGTTGATGTCTAATATGATCCTGTATTGATCAGTGCACTCCTTTTCTTATCTATTCCTCAAGTCAAATATACATAAGATCTCATCAACTATATATACTGCACAGAAGACAAGAAGACTAATTCCTTAACGAAAATATATACTACTTAGTTACTAGCATCATCTCCCACCGCACATGCTTTAAGTACTAGTAGATGGTTCCACCGGGTCTAATTGAGTCTTGAATACTATTACGTGCTCAATGTTGTGGCATAGCGAAGAGCTTACTTGGAGATTATCGACTGGAATAGCCACTGGAAGAGGTATCTCGTTTGGTCCTCTCTATTTGTCTTCGCCTCTGCCATGTATTCTGCAAATACTCACAGCGTTGCTTCGACCTCATCCACTATGGTCACCTTAATGCTCCCGTTTCTGGTATCCGCACACAGATTCAAGGCATCCACGGCCTTCTCTAGAGGGAAAACGTGCGACACCAATTTCTTCAAGTCCAGTATGCCCCCACTGAGACACGCTATTGCAGGCGGCCAGGTATCACGGTACCGGTTGATGAACCGCAAATCGATCTGTCTTGGTTAGTGATCTTATGCTCAAGCCTAACACGAGGAAGGCTTACCTCTGCCAGGGAAATATGCATAAATGGCAGGTTATTCATTACTGCCTTTCCCACGCCAATGACGACCACCGTACCACCCCGACGAGCGGTAAATGTTGCGGTACACACACTGTTCTCAACACCAGTACACTCTAATACAGTTTCTGGGGCGTGGTACTCGTCCGGACCAAAAATTGCTCGGATTGCCTTGGCGTTGCCTTCCGCATCTAGTGCTGGATTAACCTGGTATGTGTTACACCAAGGCGCAAATTCCTTGGCAAAGGCGAGTCGCTTTGGCTCAATATCTGTGATGACAATGGGGTGGGCCCCTGATGCCCGAGCAGCTGCGAGGGCGATCAGTCCAATAGGTCCAGCACCGCATACGACTACACCACGACCTAAATGAAGACGCGCGACCTGGATTCCGCGCATGACGACCGAAAGTGGCTCTAGGAGGGCTCCTTCAAGATAGGATATATTGTCAGGAAGCCTGTAAAGACAATTTAGCATACTTAGTCAATCCAATGGGAACCGAAACGCACTTATGTAGCCATTTGGCTGGGTGGACCTTGTAACGTTGGATGGTACCCGCATAAGGATATACTCCCGCAAATTGGACGTCCTCGCAAAGGTTGTAGCGACCGTCATCACAGAGGAAGCACTGTTCGCAAGGAACCCCAGGTTCGACGGCGACTCTGTCACCTGTGCCTTCCGATAAGTTATCCATTGCAGACATAATGCACAGCGTGACTAACCAGGCTGGAGATGGGTCACTCCATCTCCACACTTTAGCACCACCCCCGCTGCTTCATGGCCAATTATGCAATCTCCCTCGAAGACTAGCTCTCCAATGCGACCGGTTTTCCAGAAATGAATATCAGACCTGAGCACGTTAGCGAATAGTGTGCACATGTAAATATAGCCAATATTCTTGCATACCCACAGACGCCAGTGGCTTTGATTTGCAGTAGGACCTCACCTCGCCGTGGCGCATACACCGGGGCGGGGACAAATTTGAGATTGTGATCTGCTGTGATCTGGAGAGAGGGATTAGGGAATGGAGGCGACAATTGCACCTGCTCCGTCGGCGATGACTTTGAGGTAGACGTTGGAGCCGGGCTCGATAGAAGGACATAAGGGGCCATGGTGTTGGGTGGTGTATGATCTGAACGTTGGAGTTAGAGAAGACGCCTGGGGTGCGTCTGGCTTAAGCTGAAAACATCTTGGGCGTCCCCAGGTTAGCTGGGAGTGACACATTTACTGAACTCGAGCAATAGGATGCAGCGGAGATAAGCTACCTTTGCCTGGGCATCATGGAGATGGCAACTGGAGGCACGGATGACCCAGCGTGGATTTAGTCCAGGTCATATCTTCCCCGCATGGAATTTCTGGGGTCGGAACCAGTACTTACCCTTTTGGGTATTCCACATCCGCTTTCCCCGATCTGGTGGTTGGCGCCTCCAATTACCCGATTGGGAAATGGGCTTAATGCTGCCTGATGAGGTTATTCGGATCCAGTTCTTCAAGCTCAGTCCACCTTCACTCTGCAGAGCTCGGCTTGTTCTGTTCCCACCTTTTCTCTGCTCTGGGCACCGTGTCTATTATAAATTTGACCCATGTCCCATCTTGCCCCGCGCCATGTATCGCCCTCAGAATCATTCCTGCAACTATGGCTGTTGGTCCTGTCCCGCGAAGTAATGGCGCCTCGGCCTTGCCGCTGGTGCGCCAGCTGTCTAAAGATCACGACCATGTCTTGAAATCATTCCGTCTTCTAATTTCCGACCTGTGCCAGCAGTTCGGCGGAGGCCACCCGGGGTATGAGTCCACCGATAATGAGCTCAGCAGAGCAAAGGGTATTGACTAACTTGACCAGTGGAGCTATTGGCATGGCGGCCATAGGAGTCGCCCTCTGGCGATATGTTATGCGATATGCGCCACACACCCCAGACTACTTCAACCGCGATCGCTTCATCCTTTCCAACGGCCATACCTGCCTCTTCCAGTACGCCTTTTTACATCTCACTGGCTACAAAGCCATGACTTTCGAGCAGCTTAAGTCCTACCACTCCGACCGCGTCGACGCATTATGCCCGGGCCACCCGGAAATCGAACACGAGGGCATCGAAGTCACCACAGGCCCCTTAGGTCAGGGCATCGCCAATGCTGTTGGTCTTGCCATGGCCACGAAGAACCTGGCGGCCAACTTCAATCGTCCTGGGTACGATGTCGTATCCAACCACACCTGGTGTATGATAGGAGATGCATGTCTGCAAGAAGGAGTCGGGCTCGAGGCAATCTCCTTCGCGGGCCATCTCAAACTCAACAACCTGACAGTCATCTACGATAACAACCAGATAACCTGCGATGGTTCAGTCGATCTGACCAACACAGAGGATATCAACGCTAAGATGCGTGCCTGTGGCTGGAACGTCATTGATGTGGAAGACGGTTGCTACGATATCGAGGGGATTGTCCAAGCCTTGGAGGAGGCTCGCGCCTCTCCAGAAAAGCCTACTTTCATAAACGTCCGGACCGTCATTGGTCTAGGCAGCAAGGTGGAAGGCATGGCTGCTGCTCATGGTGCTGCATTTGGTGCTCCAGACGTAGCAGAGATGAAGAGGAAGTATGGCTTTAACCCTGAGGAGCACTTCGTCATCAGTGATACAGTCCGAGAGTTCTTCCAGGAGCTCCCTGCTCGAGGAGAAGCTCTTGTTCAGCAGTGGAACTCGTTAGTGAAGCAATATAGCGCAGAACATCCTGAGCTTGGGGAAGAGTTCCAGAGACGCATTCGCGGAGAGCTGCCTTCGAACTGGAAGGACCTTATACCTTCCAGCTTCCCTGATAAGCCAACGGCTACGAGAGCCTCATCCGGCCTAGTATTCAACCCTCTGGCTAAAGATATCAAATCTTTCATGGTCGGAACGGCTGACCTGAGCCCGTCCGTGAACATGAT